TGAAATTATTATAATTTTTTTCTTTTGTTTTTCGTTTTTTCTTATGTCGGTTATGAGCACGTCCTCCACCTATCCTCCCATCGACTCACAAACCTCCAACCATTATCGCCGCGCGTTTAAAATAATTTCCAAAAGCCAAAAAAAAAATCAAAAGTTGAATTATTGTTTTATTTTTCATTTTTCTTATGTCGGTCATCGTCATGTGATCTATCAATCCTTCCATCCACTCATAAACCCCCCATCTTTATCACCGCGCGTCCAAAATCATTTTCAAAAACCAGAAAACAAATAAAATTCGAATTATAATTTTTTTTCCCTTGTTTTTGGTTTTTTTCATGTTAGTAATCTAACAAGTCATTCATCAAGTCATTCATTATTTGTTTTTCTTATTTTTCGATGTCGGCAATGAAACACGTCATCGAGACCTACTGGAAATAAAAGAAAAAAAAATTCTTCGGTTTCTTAATTTAAGTTTTTTTGAAATTAATTCTCCGCGATAATGGGCCGGAAGGGGTGGAGTGGGTAGGTGACGATGTACTACATAAAAAACAAATTTTTTTTAATATGAACATTTTGAAAAAATCTTTTTCGGCCCTGGAATAAGTAGTAACAGAATTAAAAAAATAAAAAGTCAGACAACATTAAAAAATCAAAATCCTATATGTTATACCACACAATATATTATACCACACCGAAGGCTACGGCGCGCGGAGCGCGCCTCATACGCTAGTTAGAAAAAAATACAAATGGGGCAAAATGGGTCTGTGAGCCAGTTCGCAGATTGATCTCCCCCCCACGCTCATTAGAAAAACAGTGGGGCAAAATGGGTCTGTGAGCCAGTTCGCAGATTGATCTCCCCCCCACGCTCATTAGAAAAACAGTGGGGCAAAATGGGTCTGTGAGCCAGTTCGCAGATTGATCTCCCCCCCACGCTCATTAGAAAAACAGTGGGGCAAAATGGGTCTGTGAGCCAGTTCGCAGATTGATCTCCCCCCCACGCTCATTAGAAAAACAGTGGGGCAAAATGGGTCTGTGAGCCAGTTCGCAGATTGATCTCCCCCCCACGCTCATTAGAAAAACAGTGGGGCAAAATGGGTTTGTTTGTCGTTTCCCAAATTGATTCCCCCCCGACCCCTCTCCCTCATTAAGAAAATAATGGGGCAGAATGGGTTTGTTTGTCATCTCCCGAGTTGACACCCCCCCCCCTTCCCGAATAAAGCCCACAATAATGGATTTCAAAATTCCACAGAAGGAGCAGAATGGGTTTATAAGC